ATGAATAGAAGATTCATATTTTTTGTGATCTATTGAAACAAAACTAAGTCAATATTTATATTTAGCTAATTGTATTACTACTCGGTAACCATTTTAGTTTGCTTATTAAAGTTACTATTTGGTTCGAGTGCTATCATATAAAAGATAATTCAGCTTTACAAGAACTTTACATTTAACAAGATCACTTTCTTATACGATCTTACCTACGATATTTACATAAAATGAAAATAATCTTAAATTAAAGTGATATAATTAAATTTTTACTTAAAGTCAAACTTAATAAATATTACAACTAAGATAATTTTATATGTTGCTAAAATCGAAACTTAATTAGCAAATAGTAATACCTTATAAATATTTATGTTAGCATTTTAAAATTAAAATCTTTCTTTAAAAAAATTAGATCAATCCATTTGATCTAACAGATCCAAATATTGTGTGAATTAGTTAAAATAAGCTGAGTCGATCCATATTGATAGCTTCATTAAATCTATATATTTCAGCTTTATCCCGATCCATATTGACAATTTCATTAAATTTATATAACTAATCTCAATTTTATCTCGATCCATATTGATAGCTCTATTAAATTTATATAGCTAATTTCAATTTTGTCCCAATCAATATTGACAACTCCATTAAATCTAATTTCAGTTTTATTCTGATATTCCATATTGACAGCTCCACTAAATCTGTATAGCTAATTTCAATTTCATCCCGATCCATATTGACAACTCCATTAAATTTGTATAGCTAATTTCAATTTTGTTTCGATCCATATTGACAGCTCCATTAAATCTATATAGCTAATTTCAGTTTTATTCCATCCATATTGAAAACTCCATTAAATTTATATAGCTAATTTCAATTTTATTCCGATCCTTATTGACATCTTCATTAAATCTATATAGCTAAGTTCAATTTTGGTCCGATGCATATTGACAACTCCATTAAATTTATATAGCTAATTTCAGTTTTATTCCGATCCATATTGACAACTCCATTTAGCTAATTTCAGTTTTGTTTCGTTCCATATTGACATCTCCATTAAATCTATATAGCTAATTTCAATTTTATTCTAGTCCATAGAGACAACTCCATTAAATCTATATTCCTAATTTTAATTTTATCCCGATTTATATTGACAACTCTATCAAATTTATATTAGTTTTATCCCGATCCATATAGACAGCTTCATTAAATTTATATAGCTAATTTTAATTTTATTTTGATTCATATATATTGACAGCTCCATTAAATCTATATAGCTAATTTTAATTTTATCTCAATTCATATTAACAACTCCATTAAATCTATATAGCTAATTTCAGTTTTATTTCAATTCATATTAATAACTTCATTAAATCTATATAACTAATTTCAATTTTATTTCATTCCATATCGATAACTCCATTAAATCTATATAGCTAATTTCAATCTTGTCCATTTCAATGCCATACCTGGGGACTAACCTTTCTCAGAAAGATGAAAAAAAAAAAAAGAGCCCATAAAGTTTCTCTATTTTTATCCCCACTTTTGGTCCAAAATTTTCACACACAAGATATTGCCATATTGGCTTGGTGAGATTTCCACGTGATAATGAGAGGCAATAAAATAGGCATACTAGGCTAGTTAATAAGTGCACAGAGGTGAAAGATAGGTGTTTTTTGACGCGCGTAATATAAATTTATATAATATAGAATAATATTATTAAGAGTCGATGCAATATATATGGTTTTTATATATATTAATTATTAAAAGTAAATAGTAAATTATTATTGATCCTATACATATATTATATCGTTAATGTGTATAATATATGCATAATCAATGTATAATCTATGTATATATCATTTAAATAAAGTAAATAATAAATCTAATGTTTTTTTTTAACAAAGTTCTATAGATAATATATTTAATTCAAATTTGTAAGTCGCAATACTAAGAAAGTTAGAGTTGTATACATTGTTGATATATGTTTTATTTTATTTTTACCATCAAATTAGTAAAATGATATTTACTATGAAATTTATAATATCAAAAATATATATAAAAAAAGTTATCTATTATAACAAATTATAGTGAGCTGATAGACTTGAAATTTTCTTATACCGATTATGGTTATAGCTTATTTGGTTAAGTTTGTAAAATTTATTTACTTTACAAAATACTTTTGATAAAAAGTGTTCCTAAAAAACTAGGGATAAGCGTCTGAAAAATACCTCAACTTTGGTCGGATTTGCTGTTGCGATACTAAACTTTCACGAGGACCTATTACCTCCCTAGACTATTTAATA